TTCACTCACATTCACTCCCCTCTCATTCACGTTCACTCCCCCTCACTCACGTTCTCGCCCCCCTCACTCACGTTCACCCCCCCCACTCGCGTTCACTCCCCCCGACTCGCATTCACTCCCCCACCAGTCACGTTCACCCCCCCACTCGCGTTCACTCCCCCCCACTCATTGACACTCAGGACAACCTCCAGTCCTGCAGCCTTTGTTCGTGGTAAGTGCCCTATAAGGAGGTACCAATTTTTATCTTTTGTATCTTATTCTTGCTGTACCTTTTCTATGTTTCCATTCACAGATACTTACCATTGTGTGACTGTTGCCTACAGTATTCAGTACAGAAACATGCTGTACAGGTTTGTAGCCTAGGAGCCAAGGCTATCCCATGCAGCCTAGGTGTGCAGTAGGCTATCTCACCTAGGTTTCTGTCAGTACACTCTAAGTACACTGCAGGATGTTCACACGAGGATGAAATCACCTAAAGACGCATTTCTCAGAACACATCCCTGTCATTAAGTCATGACACATGACTGTATTACAATATAGCCACATGGTGTCACAATCACACTTTTACAGTCCGCATGTACTCCTGGAAGCCCATCAAGGGTAATGTTGGAATGCTGCTTGCTATATTTTTGAAACAAATGGAATTGAACTCTTTACGTCTGAGGCGTAGCATTGCATTACTCTGCTTTCAACAAAGGAATTTTCAAATCTCAAAAATTACAATAAATTGGTTGGAACATTTTTGGATTAAAGGGAAGTGATGCTAATGAATTTATTTGCTATGCATTCCAGTCCCATTAATCCTGATGAGTTCATCCTGGCTTAACATATGGCATGCCTTTCTTTAGACTTTTAAGTTTAGCGTTAACTGCTTTTATACCACGACAGGAGACTGCGACTGGAGCAAGCGTCACTGCGGCAGGCTGCTGAATTCATGCCTAAGGAGCAGGACAGCAGCATTCCTCCTGTTGAGTGTATATTAAGCTTGGCTGTGTTCATTTCACTGGGCAACCTTTTAAGCACTGGTTCTCAAACTTTAGGGTCTGGAACCCCTCTGACACCCTTAAAGAGTATTGAGGACTCCCAGAAGCTTCGCTTATGTGGGTTGTGTCTATCAACACTTATGAATTGGAAATAAAATGTAGTCTGGGTGCAGTGGCATACCCCTATAATCCCAGCACTTTGGGAGGCTGAGGCAGGTGGATTGCTTGAGCTGAGGAATTTTGAGACCAACCTGGGCAATGTGGCGAAACCCCGTTTCTATGAAAAATACAAAAAATTAGCCAGGCATGGTGGTGCGCACCTGTAGTCCCAGCTACTTGGGAGGCTGACGTGGGAGAATCACTTGAGTCTAGGGAGGTCGAGGCAGCAGTGAGCCAAGATTGTGCCGCTGCATTCTGTCGCCTGGGTGACAGAGTGAGACCCTGTCTTAAAAACAAAAAACAAACAAAAAAAATTAAAATTTAGAACGACTTGAAATAAATGTCTTAATCTACCTAAAATAACAAGGATTAACCCATTTTGTGTTATTATAAGTAACATTTTTATGAAAAGTAACTATTTGCCAGAACAAAAATAATTCAGTGAGAAGAGTGGCATTGTTTTACATGTTTATAAGCCTCTTTAATGTTTAGCTTATGGCAGCTAGATTCATGTATGTGCTTCTGCATTCAGTCAGTTTGGACGTGTTGTTTTAGTTGAAGTATGTAAGGAAAATATGGCTTCACAGGGATGTACCTAGAAAAGGAGGAACACTTTAGTGGCCTTTTCAGGTAATTGTAGATATTCTTTCTTGATACTACATTAAAACTCCACAGGCAATAGTGGGTTCCACTGTGGAATCTGAAGCCATCTCAGTAAGCTCTTTGTTCTAAAATGATGGGTCTATCTTGCACTTCGAATCAGTCTACACATTTATGATTCTGTTTTACTGAATTAATGTTTTACTGAATCATGTAGATCTTCCAAATGCTGGCACATTTCATCATATATTTTTAAAATATCACATTTGTTAACATCCCCCCCAGTGTCATGGAAAAATTCAACTTTTAGGGAGCTGTCCACATCTTGATGACGAATACAAGTTTTCTGAAATTCCCATTTTTTTCTTGAAAGCTCTCAAATTTTATCACTTGAAGCAAATGTTGTCAGTTGTTTCCCCTCTACATTCTGCCCCTTTTCTTCCAGAGTTAACTTTTTAAACTACGAATCCCAATCATGGCCCCTTGGCACCCACCCTGCAGTGGGGCACCAGTATGCTGTGTCCCTGGTGGGCTGTGAGCCTGACTTTATCAACCTTCATTGTTCTCGGTGCTCTCATGGTACATGATAGAGCATCAAGAAAGAGCAGTAATTGACAATTAGGGACACTTGATTATGGACTGTGTCTTTTTTCTTTCTTTTTTTTTTTTATTATACTTTAAGTTCTAGGGTACACGTGCACAATGTGCAGGTTTGTTACATATGTATACATGAGCCATGTTGGTGTGCTGCACCCATTAACTCGTCATTTACATTAGGTATATCTCCTAATGCTATCCCTCCCCTCTCCCCCGACCCCACGACAGGCCCCGGTGTGTGATGTTCCCCACCCTGTGTCCAAGTGTTCTCACTGTTCAATTCCTACCTGTGAGTGAGACCATACGGTGTTTGATTTTCTGTCCTTGCGATAGTTTGCTCAAAATGATGGTTTCCAGCTTCATCCATGTCCCTACAAAGGACATGAACTCATCCTTTTTTATGGCTGCATAGTATTCCATGGTGTATATGTACCACATTTTCTTAATCCTGTGGACTGTGTTTTAAATACTATTGAATTAATGTTCAGTTCCACTGGTGTGATCATGGCATTACAGTTTGGTAACACAATGTAATTCTTAGCAATTACTTACTGACATATTTAGAGGTAGTTGTCATGATAGCTATAGCTTGCTTATCATAATGGTCATAAGGAAAGCATATATTTGTCTAAAGAGGGATAAAGCAAATATGGCAAAATGTTAAATATTGGGAAGTATAGATAAAGAGTAAGCATTCAACTTCTGTAGGTTTGACATTTTCAACATAGAAAGTGAAAAGGAATGAAATATCAATGTAGGATGAAATATCAATGTATGAAAGATGATGCAGGTGGGAATGGAATAAGATTCCAATTGTAGGCAGTCGGTTTGCTGCTAAGTTATACAACTCTAGCTGTTGATGAGCATGTTTATGTGCATTTTTTGTGTAATGATAATCTTATCTGGGTTCACATTAGGTGCAAATCATATTTCAGACAGCTTAATTAAACCTCTTCAGCTCCCGGGCGAGTGCAAGATTCTGTGCAGAGTGTAAATGGTAAGCTTTAGAAAACAAAGGACTTTATATGCCATGCATCTACGAGGTTCTTCCTAGCGCGTCCTCAGGCTGCGTTCATACCAGGTACTCCCAATCACTGGCCAGCACGATTCCATTCCAAGGCAACAAGGTCCTGCTTCCCAGATTTAGGATAACCTTCTGCCCATGCTGAGACTCTTGGTGTTATGGGCAGACGTGTGCTCCGTGCTGCCATGGCAGCTGTTAATAGTACCCACAGAACTCCATCACTAAATGCTCGATTGTACGAATTGGAGTCCAAGTGTTTTCAGAAGACACCAGCTAATGTTTTCTGCCCCTGCTGACCTTGCTGGTCAATACTAGTGTCAGGAGCGGACTCGCTCCCCTTCTTGGCCCCTAACCGGGGCCTCAGAGCTTTTGCATGCCTACGACTATGCCCTAGATTTGTGGAAATTGCCAGTGTGACGCTTTTATATCTTCCTCTTTGAAATATGAGAGTCGATTTCAGAGGTAAAGCGGTGGAATCTCTGGTGTGGAGGGCATCTAGTCTGGCTTCCCATCTTCTCCCTGAATTCCGCTGATGACACCCCCATGGTGGTCCCCTTTGCCGTCAACCCTGTCTTCAGTTGCTGTTAAGGTGGCATGTGTTTCCCACTGCAGGGCTGAGCTGAATCCGTTTTCACTGTACCAGCCACAGACTTGGAGATTCTGGGGTCGAAACTGAACATATCTGATGGCTCTTCCTTGCCTTTCAGGATTCTGAAACCTTCCTCGTATCCCTCCTGACACTTCTTTGCTGCAAGATCGAGGCTGTCCTCTGGTGAGAAGGTGTTGAGGCTTCACGTCGTATTCCAGGTACAGTCTACCTGTCAGCATGACAGCAGCATGCTAGAATATGTTATTCTGTTTTGTGCTAGAATATGTTATTCATTTAGACTGCTGGTTGTCTGTTGACTTTTTAAGTTAACTGTCAACTAAAACCCCCAGGTGTCTTCTTTTTTAGATTCCCAACTGCTGTAATTTTTCAGACTCATGTGGCTAACTGCCCAGACCCATTAACCCAGCAGAAAACAAGCTTGTCTTTTCACTTGAGTGTGTTCCTTAAATTCCTGCATTTCCTTCCAACAGAACTCTTGATATCCTGTGGCTGGCCAGGCCTTCCGTCCCTGAGGCCTGGTCACCAGGGCAGGCTCTGGGGAAGGATCAGCCTGGAGCTGTCCCACGTCATTCCTGGTGCGGACATTGGGCACTGTGTCTTGTGCTCTGTGCGCCACCCAGCTCCTGGGCACTGGCGTGCAGCACAGCGGCTGTGCTGTGTCCTGCTGTGTTTCTCTGTGTGACTCCTGGAGCCTTTGCAATTCTCAAGGTCAAGGGCTGCTTCCAGTTCTCTTCCTACCCCAGAACTTTTCATCTTGCTCCCATTCTTCTGACTCTTCTCCTTACTTCTCTCCCTTTTACTTAGGAATTCTGCTGTAACTCGTTCCTGGTTCAGGTGCTGTAGCCGTCTGCTGTAGGGCAGTGGTGTTTCAGGCTGTTCCTTGCAGCTTGAGAGTTAATTCCAAGTGAGCATAAGAGCCAAGTGGGGCAGGGGGGCAGTCAAGGCTGGCCACTGAGGCTCTGTGTCCCCTATCTTTCTTTAAATACGAGTAGCTTCATTTTTGTCTGATTTTTCTATTTGGGTTTGGCGTAGGATGTAGTTTGGGTGCCGAGACCAGCTCGGTCGGAGACCCTAACCCAGCAGCGCTAGAGGAATTAAAGAAACACACACGGAAATATAGAGTGTGGAATGGGAAATCGGGGCTGACAGCCTTCAGAGCTGAGAGCCCCAAACAGAGATTTATCCACATATTTATTGACTGCAAGCCAGTGATAAGCATTATTTCTATAGATTGTAGATTAACTAAAAGCATTCCTTACGGGAAATACAGGGATGGGTCTGGCTAGTTATCTGCAGCAGGAGCGTGTCCTTAAGGCACAGATCATACATGATAATGTTTGTGGTTTAGGAACACCTTCAAGGGGTTTTCCGTCCTCTGTGGGCCAGGTGTTCCTTGCCCTCATTCCAGTAAACCAACGACCTTCAACGTGGGCGTGATGGCCATCACGAACACAACACAGTGCTGCAGAGATTTGATTTATGGCCAGATTTGGGGGCCTGTTCCCAACATTTGGGAAAAAAAGTTCCGCTATAAAATACTTTAAACTAATTGCTCTGGCCATTTCTCCATTAAACTAAAAATGTTTACTGAGTATGGAGGCTTCATCATTATCATTGCTATTTTATTACAAAAAATAGAGCTAAAACTCTTCAGTTGAGGGAAAGAGTGTGTGTGTGTGTGTGTGTGTGTGTGTGTGTGTGTGTGTAATGACCCTCACCTGACTTGTCTCCCACTCTCTCACATTCTTACAGTCATTTGAGGCCATTCATATAGTTAATTCTGAGACTATGGCTATATTAGGAATGCAGACATACCCAGGCTCAGCAGCCCACACTGAGATCTTAATCAGAAGGACTTCTGGGGGATATAGCCAGTGACCTTTGCCACATGTAAGCAACTTTGAGCAGGCTGCCTTGAAATAAAAAATTAAGCAGGAAGGAGGGGCTGCCCACAAGCTTCAAGCTCCGGGGGAGGATTAGGCTATAAGTAAGCACCTTGTTTATGAGGCTGCTACAGGCTTGTCAATGTCAGAAACAAAGGTGCAGAATTACCAGGTGCACCTTCCCAAAGACAGTGGGTAAAATGAGCTGTCGGCCAGCAGGGAAGTGGGAGGACATTCTGCCCAGGCCAGAAGCCACTGTGTGTTGGGGTGTGTGAGCCTTGAGCACCCTTTTCTTTCCTTCCCTGTTTAGCTGCTTAATTAGTAGAATGACTTGAATTAGAGTGAGTTCATTCTGCATTCTTCCCCCCTCCACCGCCCCAGTCAGATGTGTTTCTGCTGTCTTAACAGACTATTTTAGAACACCTTCCGGTGTTACCTGACACTGGGGCTGGGCGTTGACATCTGAGTGAATAGCCTAAGTCAGAGTCTTCCGCTTCTAGGGCTGGGCAGTGCATTATCAAGGTGTGAGGGGAAGCCCTTGGGTGGTGTTGGGGCACAAGTCCTGAACCCTGTCTGAATTGGGGGAATTTATGGCTTACTGGGCACTGCCATGATGTCACCTTTTCCTGTTGAAGAGAATCAGGCCAGCTGGTAACATAGGTGCCACATCTCCTGGAGGCCTTTTAGTCTTGGCCACGCTTGTTGTTTGGTTTATCACGTTCTGTCTTCTCTCTTCTGTTCTGTTCCCTGCACTTCCTCAGCCTCTGCAAGGAGAGAGGGCACATAGTAGGGGAATAATAGGTAGTTGTTGCATGGGTGGATCATTGTGAACAGTTACTTGCTTGCTTCTTTCTTTCCATAGTGTGCACTCTGAGGGCAGGGACGATGTATGGTCTCATCTTTATAGCTCCCATAACTCCCTACAACCATGGCCCAAGGAAGATCACCCAATTTTTAAAAAACGAAGTAACAGCTATTTAATATATGGCATTTTTCCAGGAGGAGGAAATTACTTTCAAATCATTCAGCCTCCGTTAAATGAAATAGTTTCAGGCAAAGTCGTGGTTATCCCCACCACTGAAGCAATGTATTAAAGAAAGTTGCTGCTCTTGTTCTTAGACCCACAAGGATTCAGTGAGCAAATGAACGCCAGTTCACTCATTATCACACGAGAGTGTTTGGACCATGGTTAGTCTATTTCTCTGGCTTAAAACAACACACATCTTATTTTCTCAATGTTTCTGTGGGCCAGGAATCAGAGCAGGAGTCAGGGCTTAGCTGGGGCCTGTGCTTGGGGTCTCACCGGGCTACAGTCTGGATGCTGGCCTGGGCTTGGTGTTCATCTGGAGGCTTGACTAGGGAGGTGTCCTCTTCCACGTTCCCTCAGGTTGTTGGCTGAATTCATGTTCTCTAGTTGTAGGACGGAGTCGTGGCCTCTTTTTGGCTGACGTGGAGGCTGCTGTCAGCTCTGAGAGGCCACTCGCGGTTCCTAGCAGCTGCCTGCGTCTCCCAGAAGCCACCTGCAGTTGGTTGTCATGTGAGCTTCCCCAGCATGGCTGCTTGCCTCATCAAGCCAGCCCAGCACAGGTCAGCTTTCCTTACTCCTTGGAAGGGGGAGCTGAAAAGTGGTTTCCATCTGCTGTCTATTTTTATAAGAAATTATTTTCTTCCTTGCTTTTTTTCTACATTTGTCCCTGATTTTAAACCTTCTACAGGGTCCCAGCCCAACAGGACCCATTTACCCTTGCAGCCAGCACGGATGCCCTGAGCCATCACTGGCCCTGCTGGCTGGTGGGTGGCTCCGGAGTGCCCAGTCCTACTTTAGGAGCGAGGTGGGTTAAATGGCTTTTTGTGAGCTGCCTTGGAACTTAACTGCAGCTTTGTCTTGTTGTTTGTATAGGAAAATGTGGTCCTGGGTCTCAGATGACTGGCATGTCAGTGAACTTTTAGCAGGCAAGAGGTCCTTATACAGTAGGTTTTTCTGTGGCCATGGGGACTGTAGAGAATATTATTTGGGGCATATGTTAAAATGTCTCTTTTCAGCCTTTAAGAACTCCTTAAAAAACAATAGAAGTGGCTGGGCATGGTCGCTCACAACTGTAATCCCAGGACTTTGAGAGGCTGAGGTGGCTGGATCACTTGGGGTCATTCAAGACCAGCTTGACCAACATGGTGAAACCCCATCTCTACTAAAAATGCAAAAATTAACTGGATGTGGTGATGCACACCTGTAGTCCCAGCTACTCAGAAGGCTGAGGTGGGGATTGCTTGAACCCAGGAGGCGGAGGCTTCAGTGAGCTGAGATGGTGCCCCTGCACACCAGCCTGGGCGACAGAGTGAGACTCTGTCTCAAAAAACAAACAATAGATGTAAGCTGTGCTCTCTTTTTCTCCTGATTCTGTGAAATGTAGAGTCTGACTGTCACAAAGCCATAACCAAAAAAGGAAGAATTTTGATTATGCATGGTCTGGAACATTTGAGTTGAATGTTGGCATATTGAGGGGCTGGCTCCAGGGTCAAGTTGGGGTGGCACTCCAGAGTGACAGTGTGTGGTCATGGTGTTGGTCTGGCGCCTTTGATGAAAGCAATGCAGGTGGCACTGCCAGTGACGGATGATAAAATACGGACCACGTGGTGTGCTGAAAGGGCCGTTCCACCCTTCACCCCCTCTGGCACTCTCATGCGGTGGGAGGGAATGGAGCTGGCTTCCTCCTGGTCCGTGGGCACTGTTTTCTCCCGGTCTTTGATCGTTCAGGCGAGCATGCGGACAATTGGCCATTTGTTTCCAGATACCTGAAAGGAATTGCAGGTAAACTGAATCACATTCTCCTCTCTGCTAGAGGCTATTCACTCAGTGCCCACTAGCACGTCCGCTCCACATAAAGAGAAGGCCTTGTCATTAGAAAAGTACAACCAGTACTTGTTGAAGACTGAAGACAGGCAAGGTGGTCAGCCAGGCCAATAGGCTGTGACATTCTTTTGAGATTAGAAGTCAGATTAAAAGTGTGTTCCTTTTGGAGTGAGTGTCTGAAATTCTGGTCACCAGTGAAACAGTGTGGTTGTGAATGCGGCAGGAAGACCTGCCATAAATGTGGCATTTCCTGGTGGGAATTACTGGTGCATGACATGAACTGCATAGATAATCCCCATGGTAACTACGGGCGTGTGTTTTATGTGTGTGTCAGGGCTCTTTGAGAAAAAACAGGGATCGGGGAACAAAGAGATCAATAGGAAAGGTCACAGCATGTGCTTACGCAAAGGTGTTATATGAGATGGATTAAAATATTGGGCTGTAAGGCGAGCATATTGATTTG